TTCAATATGTGGTTGCCAAGGTCACTGGGGATAAAGTGTGGAAGATGGTACCCCAGGGAGGTTGCTATGGGCCCCTTATTGGCAGGACCTACTACTCAGCCCTGTGGCCACGCCCAGTTGCAAGGGATACTGGGAATCGTAGTCCAGCTGCTCAGGAGAAGGAGGAAATGAGTTCGGTGAGGAGCCTTGGTGTTATGTGTATGCTCTGAGAGGTGCAGTCCCACGTTCCCATGTGCACGTGGAGCCCAGAGCCAGGCTCAGAGGCCAGCAGATACATGCCAGGGCCAAAGACCCACTTATGCACACTTGTCTGTTCAGACAAACCCGCTGTCTGCTCCATCGAGGTTCTGGCCTCTGAGGGCGAGCTCATGGGCATGTGCACCCCAGGATGTAGCCCATCTCTGACTCCGAGACCTACCCGGCCTCTGCCTTCACCATGCTGGCGTTTCATGGTGGGGAGCACTGTTCTCCAGGGCCCTGTCCACAGTGGCATGGGTGGTTCTCCGTGCACACAGGTGAGTAAGGACTGGTTTCTAGCCAGTGCTCTGCTGCCCAGCTGCAGCTCCTGGGCCTGGAGCAGGGAGGGTGCGTCTGCATGGAGGAGAAAGGCTGATTCCGCATAGTGGGGCTGCCTTTTTCCCTAATCCACATGAAATGCCCTGTAGGTGAGAGGCCTGGGCAGGCCCCCCCCACCCCACCCCACACCCGCGCTGGTGGCTGCACTTTGCCAGATGACAGTTTAGTCTTGGACACTTTTAGCTTCAGTTCTGGGCTCCCTCATTGGGGAGGGCACATCTTGCTCCGGTGGAAATGGGGTTTGGTGTAAATTTCTAATCAGGGGACTTTTGTGCCCTAAAAATAGAGCCCAGCTTGCTGGGCCTGCTTCCCCGGAGAGAGGAGAGTGGAGAGGGAGAAAGTGCTCAGGAATGGCTGGTGATGCCCTGGGTCAGGATGGAGTTCTCTAGCAAACGGACCTAACATGCACTGAAATTCTATTTTCTTAGAATGCAGAGAAGCAGAGTGGGTGGGCAGCATCTGGGATAAATGGGCCCCTGTGGTTTCCAAATGCTGCAGCTGCACGAAAGCTTGGGGGCTGGCGGGGGCTGCCTGGGGTTCTCAGTGGACTCCGATGGCTCCAAAGGGCCTCCCAGGACGCGCCCTTGATACAGAGCTGACCCCACCAAGTATTGAGTCTATGCCCCTCCCCCGGCAGTCGTCTGGAGGGCTGCGGTGGGACTCTGCCCTGTGAAGCGTGTCTGAGGGGTCCTCACCAAGGGTGGGCGCACCTCATCCTTCCTGGTAGGTCCACGCATGACCCCAGGAAGACCAGGAGGGCTGCGCACCCAGAGCCCAGCGGGGGGTGAGAGAGGCTTCTCCATGGCCTGTTGGAGAGGGAGTAGGGTGGGACACTGAGGGAAAGTCACGGCCGTGTGGGGACATGGGGTGGCAGGATGTCTTGGGAGATGTGCTGCCAAAGCTTGGGCAGAGAAGGTTCAGAAAACCCCAGAGCAGCTGGAACCACAGACACAGGACTGAGAAGCTTGGGAGAGCTCTGGCCTAGGGGAGGGGCACTTGGAAGCCTGAGTGTCCTGAGGATTAGAAAGTTGGGGCAAATGGCTGTGGGGGCTTAGGCCCAGCAGAACTTGTCTGTGGTCCAAAGCCTGAAGCTCCCACATACCCTCGCCTCAGTGGGGGTTGCAGGCTGGTGGAGAGTCCAAGTCTGTACCCTCATCATCACTCTAGGTGGGACATGTCACCAGCATGGCCTTCCTATGCCTTGGACATGGTACTTTGCTGGGGTTCTAGCTCTGGCCAACTGATGGAAGGTCGTAAGTCAGCTTAGGGCAAACCTTGACCTGGAGTTCCCAGGATTAGCAGGTGGCCCAATCTAAGACAGAAGGTGAGGCTGGCAGTTGGGCATGGTAATCCCAGCAACTCCAGGAGGCTGAGGCAGGAGGATCACAAGTTTGAATCTGGTCTCAGCAATTTAGCAAGACATTCAGCAACTTAGTGAGACCCAGTCTTGAAGTAAAAAATAAAAAGGCTGGAATGTGGCTCAGTGGTAGAGCACCTGGGTTCAATCTCCAGCACCATTAAAAGAAAAGTTGAAGTTGAGACTGGTAGAGGGTGGGACTGGGCCCATGCAGTGGGGGGTCTGCCAGGCTGAGCTCTCAGGAGGGCCTGCTGCCCAAGATGGTGGAGGCAGGAGGGCGTGCAGAGCTCTGCTACTCACCTGCTTCACTGGTCTGGCTCAGGAAATACCTGAAGAATATTCTTTCCCTAGAAAATCATAACGACCCCAGCTCTATGCCAGGCCCTCTGCTAGGTGCTAGGGAGATTGATAGATGAGGCTTGAGCCTTTGGACCTTGCCTGGCAGTGAGTCCAAACTTGCGCTTCCAGGATGGAGCAGGGATGCGGCACCAGAGGCAGGAGTGTCCTCTGGAGTGTGCCTGGACCAGGTGTTGGGCTGGACTCAGATGACTGAGCTATCAGTAGGGGAATGTGGCTTGAGCTGCAGGGAGGACCCCAGACAAGCTCAAGGTCTATGCAGGGAAAGGGAGCCTGGCATGTTTGGGCCCAGGATGCCACCACATGAGGGGCTGTCTGCACTCCTGCAACCAGGGGGACCAGGGACCAGGGTGCTAGCCCATCCTTTGGTGAGTGAGGCTCAGCTGGGGATGGAAGGACACATTCTTTTGATCTAAAGGCTGGAGGACCCTAAGAGCCAGGCCTTGGCCTCACTCTGGACCTGGAGCCCCAAACCCACCTTTGGTAGACAGGAAACTGGCCCAGTCACATAAGAATTCAGTGACAGAACAGTGTGCAGCCTCCGGAGGAGGAGCAGTTGAGCAGTCCTGGCAGTCTCCAGGAGGCCCGGGGATGATGATTTGGGCTTCCCTGGCCTCTGAGAACCACAGAAGGGACCGGGCACATCCCGGGCTTCCACATCCACATCCATTGTAAACTGGAATTGGACAATCCCATCACGCTGCTCTGCTTTGGGCTTAGCTTTCTATTGAGGATGAGCCCATGGAGGGCCAGGACCCCTGGGGCTTCAAAATTTGGGGTTCAGGGGAGCCCCTGATCAGGGGAAGCTTGGAGTCTTCCTGGTGGGAAGAGCAGCCTGGGGAGCTGAGCAAGTTTTCCAGTCAATGGCAAGGTCTTGGCTAGGACTGGCCTGTGTGGCCAAGATGGCTGTGAGATTGCTGGAGCGGTGATGGGAGGGGTCAGCATTGGTGTGCGAGGCGCAGCGCGGTCCAGAGGGCTGGGGGTGGGTGGAGCCGGAGTTGCAGTGGGGCAGGACCAGGCCGTGCTTACCAAGGAGGGTGCCAGGCAGGGAGGTCTTGCTCAGGTGTGGGTGGGGCTTAGAGTGTGCTGGAGGAAGAGCCAGAGATGGAACCTGCAGCCCCAGGAGAGGCCCCTGCAAGCGAAACAACCCCATGCCAGCGCTCTCGTCCCAGCGATTGAGAGCCCTGCTCTAGGTCCCTCCTAACCCAGGCCAGTGAGTTGGTATGCTTTGAGAGGAGGCCCAGGAGGCTGATGGGAGTTGTAGTTGTTGACCCAGGGTTGATGGGAATACCCCTCCAAGGGCTAATGGGGTTGCAGTTCTCACTTTTGAGGGCTGATGGGAATTGCGGATTTTGCCCAGGGGGCTCCAGTTGAGAGACTAGAGAGAAGGAGGCTCCCCCTCCCCACTGTGCCCTTCCCACTAGTTCCCCCTGGGCCCTGTTTTAGCAAGTGCACCCTTCCCAGATGGCTGTGTATGTATTTTCTTTTCTTTTTTTGCTTTCTTCTTCTTTCCGTTGTTTTATTATTGTTTTAACAATAATAAGAGGGCCAGAGGCCGTCAAGCCCTGGCCAGGTCCTGGCGGCTCATGGGGGTTCTGGGGTGGAGGGAGGCGGGAAGTCAGTGGGGGTCAGAGGTGGAGGGTGGAGAGAGAAAGGTGGGGAGTTAGGCTTAGCTCAGGACTCGTGACATGTCCCCACTCCCTGCTGGCTCCTGGCTTGCCCCCACCCTTCCCAGCGTGACCTGCTTCTGACCCCTCCTTGCCCGTTCTTCCGCTGGGCCTCATCCTCGCCCTTCAAAGTCTCCTTCCCCACCGCCCGCCCACAGTCAGCCCTCAAAGCCCCTTCCCGTGGCCATCCCCTCCCAGGTCCTGTCCCTCACGCAGCAGTTCCTACCGCGGGCCCGCGGCCTGTCTTGCCCCCCTTCCCCACTGACCCCTCCCCCGCCAGCCGACACCAGGTGCTCAGCCCGCACCGAGCGGAGTCCAGCTTTGTGTTCAGCCGAGGGGGAGAGGGCACAGGTGAGGGAGGAGACAGAGTTGAGGAGGAAGCGAGTTGTCCAGGGAGAGAAGAGCGAGGGAGGGAGACCGAGCAGGTAGACAGGAAACGTTGTACGGAAAAGTTGTTTTTTCTTATTTTTTTTCCGGGAGAACCCGCTTACACAGCTCTGTTTGTAATTTTTTTCTTCATGCTAAAATCACACGGCCTATTTGTTGATGTAAGTTGCCTGAATTCCGTGGTATGCTATCTTCTTTTTTAAAAAACAAAAGCAAAAAAAAAAAAAGCAAAAAAAGAGAAAAATCTAGAAAAAAAAAACCCTAAAAGATATTGTCGTTAGGTTTGTTTAAATGCTGCTGTTGTATCTGTTTTTAAAGCCTTAAACCAGTAGAGTTGTTTTTATTTTTGTTTTTTTTTTCCGTTTCTTTTCGATTTCCTTTCCTTTCTGTTCCTTTTGGTTTCTTAAGACAAACAAAATACCAAAACCCAGAGAGTCACAGAGCCCGTGCGTGGGGTGCCCAGGGCATCCGAGCCGCTGCCCGCTTAACGCGCAGTGCTCCGGCCGGCTGGCGGGCGGGCCCGGCCCGCTCTAGTCTCCGCCAAGGCCAAGGGGAACCGATTTGGGTGTGAGGCTGTTGTTTCTCTCTCTGTGCCGGCCGCCCGCGCCCCGGCCCGCGCTGACGCCCTGCCTTCTCTCTTCTCTCTCTTGTTCTAGGAGGAGAGTTAATATTGCCCATTATCACGGAGGACTCCTTAGACCCCCCTCCCGTGGCCACCCGGTCCCCCTTCGTACCCCCGCCCCCCACCTTCTACCCCTTCCTCACGGGCGTGGGCGCCACCCAAGACACCCTGCCCCCGCCCGCCGCGCGCCGCCCGCCCCCCGGGGGCCCGTGCCAGGCGGAGCGCGACGACAGCGACTGCGAGGAGCCCATCGAGGCCTCGGGCTTCGCCTCGGGGGAGGTCTTTGACTCCAGCCTCCCGCCCACGGACGACGAGGACTTTTACACCACCTTTCCCCTGGTCACGGACCGCACCACCCTCCTGTCACCCCGCAAGCCCGCTCCCCGGCCCAACCTCAGGACAGACGGGGCCACGGGCGCCCCCGGGGTGCTGCTCGCCCCCTCCGCCCCGGCCCCT